ATGACCAAATGAATAGTTAATGAGCACTTCTACTATGCTATATAGCATTGGTGCTTTAATGTACAATTTGAAGTTGTATCATAACATTAAATGTATAAGTTTAGGTTGTACCATAAAGAAATTTGTATCATTATGTTATGATACAACTTTACAATTTGAAGTTGTACCATCACTTAAGGTACAAGTTTAAGTTGTACCATAAAATTATTTGTACAAAAAGTATAGGTACAATCTGAAGTTGTACCATAACGTTAAAGGTACAATTTCAAACTGTACCATAAAGGCAAAAACCTATAGCACCAATGCTATATAAAATTGTAAAATTCCTCATAGTTAATTGTCGAAATCCATGTTTAGGCATGACATTGATAATATGATATATGAATGTTGTTCCTACATCACTGTTAAGTTCAGAGTAGTCAAAATCCCGATTTAAATCTTAAAATCCTACGGTTTTACGATTTTACTTACCTATTCCGATTCTGATTTCACTATAAAATCTATGGACCTTTAAATCCTACACTATTCACGATTTAAATCCTTAAAATCCTTAAAATCTTCCGATTTTAAGATTCAAATCTTAGAGTCAATTTTACGTATTTCCCCCAGAATTTGCAAAATTATGCCTCTTTTTCTTCTCCTTAACCAACATCATCTAGTTCTCTCACACTAACCACCATTGATTATATTCAATTCACATCAACGTATTAATCACCATCGATTCACCACCTCTTAACATTAACCTTGATAAATTAGAACATTAACCTTGAAAAATTATCATTGTAAGTGTTTTGTGCTTTTGTGTTATTCATGATTTTCCTTACTAATATTATTTCGCCTTCATTTTTATATGGACCTTAAAATCCTACGATTTTACGATTTCGATTCTCCCTCATTTTCGATTTTACGTAAAATCCCGATTTTGACTGCTTTATCGAAATACATTGATTTTCATTTTAGATCAGTGTGCCAATTTTGAAATTAAATTATCTCATATATATTCCTCTTTTTTCTTTTCTTTTCTTCCAAACTAAATCTAAATCCTGTCTACCACAACACTTATGGGCGTTCTTTTATTTTATTTATTTTTTATGGTTTTTTATTTTATTTTAGGGTAAATACAATTTAATATCCAAACCTTTCATTTTAAACAATATAATAGCCAAACCTTTTCGAAAACAATATAATATCCAAATCATCAACTTTTCGTTCGTTTGACCGTTAGTTGACACTTCAAAAAAGTTCGAAATACGACGCTTCATCAATATCCATCGATATCTTCTCTGAAAATCACCAACATATCGTGGTTCCAAACCCGAGAAATCCATGACTCCACCATGATGGTATAGAATATCTAAATATTCGGTCATCTGCAATGCCAAAACAAGAAAACAAAGTTGTATTGTGACAATTTCCCCTAAACAAAACTTTTTTGAAGTGTCAACCAACGGTCAAACGGACGGAAAGATGACGATTTGGATATTACATTGTTTTCGAAAAGGTTTGGCTATTATATTGTTTAAAATGAAAGGTTTGGATATTAAATTGTATTTACCCTTTATTTTATTTTTGTGGTCATGCTGCGATCCTTTTTCTTATGCATTTGCTTTTCACTGTGTCAGATATGGTTTTACCTATTGGGATTCATCGCACAGATGTAGATGTTGGTCATCGACGCTTGTCGTTTTATCTGTGTGGTTGGCGGCCGCATATGATCAAAGAAACAATTCACTAGTTTATTTTGTAACAATGGGAAGAAGCAAAGTGTCCATTAGGCGTAAGAATTAGCATAGGAGGAAATCATTTTGAACATCATTACGCTGCTGAGTGTGTTGGTTGATCCTCGTCAGTTCCTGGCACTTAGCTTATAGGGGGCGGCAATTCCTAGGTTTCTTTTTTGCTTAAATTTTAGAAAATAAACATGAAAAGAAGAAAACAAGAGCACTTTATTTTAACTACATTTTGTTTTTAATATTATCAGGAGCTTGTTGGTAAACATGTAAAAAACTAAGTGGATGTACGACAACAAAAAAAACACCAAACAATAGTATTAGGAATCCATTGGAATGAGAATCAAACTCGAGCCTGATCTTGAATCGTATCTCATTCATCTGATTAAGAATTCGAGTTCTAATTTCATTGCTAAGATCTAGGTTGACCAAGCACCTATTCAATAGTCAATTTAAAAGTCGACAAAGGAGTCAATGGATGATTCTAATTGTTAGCATTGTACGACTATTATAAATTGTAATATGAACATATTTTCTTATAATGGTGACATCAATAAATATTCAAAAAGTTAAAAAAAAAAACAACAATCACAGTTGAGGAAACAAATAGATAAAGGTGAAAGATAAAGAAACGCAAGCTAGTATGGGGAGGGGAGAAATTCCCCCAGCACAAACTCCCCACCTTACCCAGCAAAGGCCAAAGCTCTACAATAGACTAAAGACTAACGGAGGAGACAAAACCAGACGAAACCAATTGCAAAATTGGGACAGCAACAGCCCGACCGGCTGGATCAAACATTCTGTGACAGAGGTGGAGATCCGCATAGCTGCTCCCTAGATGGCCAAAGCCTCCTTCTCATCTTGATTATCCAATAAGTGGTCGTCTCTTTTTCCAACGCATTCGCTGCTAGAAGCCATCTTGAGATCAGCACTCAAATCTTGTAGATCAGGATATTAACTATTGAGCTTTTATCCTCCAACGTCTGCATATTTTTTTCTTTCCATAATGTCCAACAAAAGGCATGTAGAATGAACAGGAGGACCATCCTGCTGGGCTATTGGGTTTCTGTTTTGGCCAAGAATCAATCGCCTTTGTGATATCGTCAGGAAGGATGTTGGGTACCTGAAAAAAATGACAAATAATCCGCCAAACTTCTTTTGTGAGTACACAGGAAAGGAAGATGTGGCTTGCACTTTCTTCAGCCACCATACAAAGGGTACAACGACCAGGTAGGGGTGTCAGTTCGGGTTGGGTTCGGTTACCCAAACCGAAACTCGAAAAAACCCGAAAACCTGAAACCGAAAATCACTAAAATCGAATCCGAACCCGATAAGGACTTGCGGGTTCCGGTTACCCAAAACTCGAAAATTTCTTATCGGGTTCGGGTTCGGTTAAAGCAAAACCGAAACCCGAAAACCCAAAAGCCTAAAAATACGGGCTGAGTTCTATTCATTGGAGGTTTTAGCCGGAACCCGAAAAACTGATAAGCACGACCGAACTCGAAACCTGAAACGAACCCAAACCCGAAAAACCGAAAATGTATATAATCGGGTCGGTTTTGGGTAAAACCGAAAAACCAAACCCGAATGGACACCTCTACGACCAGGCATGATCCATCCGTGTTTCTTGAGAGCATCTTGAGTCCGGATTTTCTTCTGGTGGAGGATCCACATGAAAGTGCATATTTTAGATGGGTATGTTGTTGCCATACTAGTTGATGCGGGTAGTCACTGTTCTCCAAGGTTCTTTCTGCTAGCAACAGGTGATACATGGATTTAACACTGAAACCCGCCACCTTTGAAGGTATCCACACCACCTTGTCAGGATCTGCAGAAAAATTCAGAATATGTAGATTTTCCAAAAAGATAAATAAACTATCCCTTTTCCTCTCAACCCCACCCCTCAAACCCATAAATAATTGAGAGGTGAAACCCAAGAAACTCTCCCATTTTCATATTGTAGAATTCGAAAAGCATGGCAAAAGGGTAGACAGACGCAGCAGCCACTCGCGGAAACTCAGCAGCCAGGGTAACACCGGTGTCGGTCCATACATCATGCCAGAAGGAGATCTGTTCACCATTCCGAAACTACAACAAAAACGTCATTTAGCGACGGTTTTCAGAACTACTAGCGACGGTCAAACCCGTCGCTAAAACTTTTAACGACGACTAACCAAACGTCACAGACCCAGCAGTCCTTAAAATTTTTTGCGACACTTTGGGTCGACCGTCGCGCTGACCGTCGGAAACATATAGCAACGGTTTTAGCCGTGGTTATTTTTCAAAGAGCCGTCTCTAAATAAATATTACGGAAGTTGGACTAATTTTCTTAGTGACCGTTTTCCGACCGTCGCTAAAGTTAACAGACTGTCGCGAAATAAGATTTTGTTTTAATTACCTGCTCTTTTTTATTATTATTATTATGGTGAAATAGAATTACCTGCTCTTATGATGACACCACAAATCTTTTTTGTAATTTTTTAATAAACAATTTAGCATATCAACTATGAGAACCAATCTGACTTTGAATTACCAATCATCAATATAAACCATCATTCATCCAATTCAAAATCTAAGATGTTTAACATTCTACAAAAAGTTCAAACTATACTCAAACAAGTCGCTTAGAGTCCTACTTGCAGTCCAAAACTCCTACTTGCAATCCCTCTTATATAGCTCTCCTTATACTTTGTGATTTGCAGTCCAAATCCAGCACTTCAGCCCTTCAAAACAGTCACGACCCTTCAAAACCGAAACTGCCCTTCAAAACAATCACAAGCAAGAGTATGATTATTAAGCAAGAGTATCATTCTGCAGCAGGTTGAAAAGGGAAGATTAACACGTATCAAAATGACAATGAAGAGAGTAGAAAGTAACTTCAGAGAAAAATTTCCAATTCTAGAGGACTTGAAACATTCAGGATCAAATAACCTCAAAGAAGTGCAAAATCTCTTCCTATCCCTCTTTGTCCAGCATATTAAACCCGTCAACATTCAGGAGATGTAAATGTCACATCATTGGTTATCATAAAAACAAGCAAGTATCTCTGTTCACCAACCTAGAGCCACTAACAGAATCTTACACCTCTATTTGGCATACAACATCTGCACACAAAGATTAAAGGTAAGGGATGATTGACTACAATTCAGTTACAAGAAAGTTTCATAACTTCCGACGCAAATCGTCATTAAACAGGGAGTTCCAATCCTGGTCTGAAATCAACGGATATAACTTGAAAAGTGTAAAGAGGTAGAGGGCAACGAATGTACCTTTTAACAAGTGAGAGCTACTTTTGTTGTCTCGCACCACCATTCGAAGAGTGGGCAGAATGTTGAGTCGTAGAGTCAAGAGGACACTGGAAATAGTAAAACAAAAACACCAGTTACCCGTTATAAACTAAAAATTTCATCCAAAGGTTTTTGCATTCAAAGTTATAACTTACTTGTTGTTCTAATGTAGTCAGCTCCAAAGGCATGGGGACATTCATGTGTTGAAAAATCTTGACAAACCACTCTTCATACTTCTTATTCTTGTCTAAACTTTGTTGCAACTTAGACAACATAATTTGTTCCTTCTCACTCCCAGGATTAGCATATGACGATTCTCCAACATATTCAGACGAGCTAGAAAAAGTACCTAACACCTCAGATGGAACAACACCAGCCCCCATACCTCACATCCTACCTGAATGTTCTTTGCCCAAAACTTGGCCTAAAGAATCACTAGGTGCTGGTTTCTTTGGCATAACACCAGTTGCTTCGAGTGCTGCAATTTTTTCCTACACAACAGTTCACCAAAACAATAAGAAAAGAAGAAAACACGTATACAAACACATTCATCAAATGTGATGAAACCAGAAAGTAGAATGGAAAATTATCTTACACAAACTTCTCTCGTCTTGGGGTTCAAATATGATCCATCTGGCCTTTTGTGAGTATCAATGAAAACTTGTCCTCTAGAAACCTCCTGCCCACTTCTCTCGCTCTATATGATCCAATAATAACAATCTAAGAACAATACATTCTGATTCTAATAACATGAAGGAAATAGCTAAGAGCATACCATCTCAACAGTTTTCCGAGCAATAGACTTTGAGCCTCCTGTATGATTGAGCTGATATTCACCTCTATTTCTAGTATTTCTCTTAGACATATCCTTCAATAAGAAAAATACAGAATACCAGTTAGCCTCTTATCATGGGAAAATATCCAAAAGATTCATCTTGGAAGAAGTAAAACAACCACATCCCACCTGAGTAGCCTTTCTTTGGCGATAGTCGATGAAACTAGCCCATTGTTCTTTGGGAATCCCTTCAAGAGGATTGTTGATATTCTGCTCCCTTGTCCATGCATGTTTGTACTTTTTGTTGTAAAGGTTATACCTGTTTCCCTTCCATTTGCTGCCTAAGCTTCTCAAAATGTACTTGGTTGCCCTATCTTTGTGTCTGGGCTCAACAAATACTTTGTCCTACAAACATCAACGATTCAATGCTTGATAATCCAAATCAACATACAGAAAAAAAAACTCATTATTATCAAATAGTCTCCATATAAGACTACTTACATCAATTATGCCATGGAGGACTTCATTCTTATAACTAGAAGGAACAACATGCCAATTATCATAGCTTATGGGAAAATAGTTGACATCCCTAGCTATGAGTCCCAAGAATTGGCCAAGTAGGCCACCACCATCATGAACAGGCTGATTCCTTACAAATGGCACCACAAAATTGGTGCCATGAGGAAGATACCACACATCCCGTGCATGTAGATGTGTCATGGACCTCTGTCCTTCAGAATCTGGAAAACAGAGCACATAGATAACAAGATAGCTTTGATGGTTAGTGAGTTTCTAAGAGGTTTCCATTTTTCATTGAGACCCTTCATGGCTGCTCAATAGATCAGAATGATCAGAATCCGGGAAACAGGCTGTTGACTACAACTAAACAGAATAACGTAGCTTTTGCAATGAATAGAACAGAATCAGAAAAATACAAGAACATTACAGCTTACCAATGACCTGAACTCTCCAGTATGGTCTGTAAGCAGCTTTATCAGTAGTTGCCATATCTGAAAATCAAAGAATATATCCATGGAATATCCATTAGAAAGCTGAATACAATAGTCGAATGAAACACTGAGTTCAAGACCACAAGTAAAAATGAGAAGCCGAAAAGAAAGCAAGAGACCAAGAGGAAAGCAACAGACTACTCTCATTTCGACTGAAACACCAACCGAGCAAACATTGTTGCTGCCTATCCCTGGATATGAACTAAGAAGGGATACTTGAACTAAGAAGGGATACTTGAATTGTAAGGGCATACACACCGACTCAGCTCCTCAAAAACACCAATAGAGACAGTTTTACTTTAGTCGACCTTGCATCTCCACAACATTAAACATTCAACAGGATCAACGACATGTATCTATTCTTCGATAAGAGAGAATAGATACATTCAGCAAGCACAATATATATATATATATATATATATATATATATATATATGTATGTATATGTAGCTGCAGTCTCCTCACTAAAGTGAATCAGTTTCAGCTCACACCTGCAGGGAGCAAGATCGATAGCTGCAGCTATCTCTACTCCCACTCTTTCTTCTCACGTTCGCTATATATCAGTTTCCAGTAGCAGCAGAGAAAGACAATATCGAATCGACTGATGCTCACGACAAAGAGGAAGAACGAACTACAGCTCCTGGAAAGTCACTGATAATACCACCGCCGCCGACAGAAGGAGCGACACTGGTTTTAGCGCGATATTGGTTTTAGCGCGACATCAGAAAACCCTAGCACCAGCTTTCTAAACCTAGTACGTCGATTTGAATTGCCGAAAAGGAACGTCGATTTGAATCGCCGAGAGAGAGCGCGACATCAGAGAATTATGATAGAGAAAGAGAGCAAGAGAATTAGCTTGAATTAGAACTTCTTCTCCTTCACTAGTGACGAAGATTGAAAGAACGACACTGCTTTTGTACTTCTTCTCCTTCGCTTTCCACTTCTCTGCTCTAAAATCGACCACTAAAGCTGAAACGAGAATCTGCAGGGGGCGTTCGAAGGTGCAGCAATGGTGCAAGAGAGGTGAAATGGATTTCGTAGGTGAAACCAATAGAGGAAGAGAGGTGAAATGGATGTCGGAGGCGAAGGACTGGCGGAAGTGAGGTGAAATTGATTTTGGAGGTGAAGAATTGAATTTCAAGGTGGTTTGAAATAATTTGAGCTGCTAAGGCTTTTTACTGAAGTGGTTTGAAATTTATCTACATTTCCCCCATTTTCTCGCCTTATTACCTATAGCCCCTCTAAGTTAAAAATTTGGACATTTCAGTTAACTGATGAAACAATATAATTTAACTAACTATGCTATGCTTGCTTTTGGTCCTCCACTTCTATTGCCTTGAATCTTATCTGTACATTACACTTGAAGTTCCCCCAGATATTATGCAGAAAGATTGCAGCTTCCCTAAACCAACCAACATGAATTGGCTCTAATCCAAATCCCAAATAAATGAAAACTTGCATCTGTAAATATTATGCAGAGGAGGCTATATCATGTTGCAGCAGCACAAATGGATGAACCATAAACATAGACATATGAGCAACTCCAGGCATGTAAATATTATGCAGTCTGCCATTCTAACACCAACTCTGCAACACAGTTCAGATACTAACTAATCAACTCTTATCATATAGAGTTAATATGTAGACAAGAAACTCCATTGCATTGTGAACTTCACAAGTACAGACCATCTATTTCTCATCAACATTATAAGTTAAAGTAGCAGCTTACATCATGAAGGTGGACTCTAATCCTCAAACTCTACTTCCATACCAAGTCATGATAGTTGCACTTGTGAATTGCCATCAACACATGTACTAACTAGGTCTTGATATGGAAATGCATCACTCTCATATATTGTATCCCTCTCCAATGAACCCATGTCGAACAAATCTCTTGGTTTGATATGCACTGGAATGCTCCATCCTCTGTCACTTTTGTCCTCCACATAGTAAACCATTTGGGCCTCATCAGCCTTGATAAATGGCTCATCATCATCTCGATCACCAATGTGAATCAAATGAGAGAAGTTGATTGACGTGAAGCCTAATGCATCTTTCTTCACATATCTAGGATTCATGGTATTTGCCCATTCACACTTGAATAAAGTGACAGAAAAATTACCATAGTAATTCAGCTCAATGATGTCAATCAATTTACCATAGTATGGCACTACACCCTGTACTGGTCTCATATCACTTGAGCTTGCATAGCTGTTGGTACCAAAGCTGCCAAACACACCACAATTGCTTGTTTTTGAAAATTGCTCCCGATCTATGGTCCGGAATCTATATCCATTCATGTCATACGCAGTAAACTTCCTTGCTCTTTTCATGGGGCCTTTTGCAAGTGCCTTGAGATCCTTTGAATGTTCCCCTATATTATCATTTAAAATCTACAAACAATAGAAAGTTAGTTGGTCAGTAAGAATCAACTTTTCTACCAAAATTTACCGTATTAACTCTTACTCTACCAGCTCATGCTGCCACTATTCTACTACAAATACTAAGCACCAAAAGACACTAACCCGTGTTTTAAACCAATCTACGATTCCTCGATGTACAACTTTGTCTATTTCATTTGCCGACCTTGTTCGATTTCTTAAACTCCTCTTGGTTATGTCTCTGAATTCCCTGCATCACTTGGTTACGGTTAAAAAATATACCTTTACTTTGTAAATCAAAGAAAACTATGACAAAATACTTACTGAATAAAGCGTTCTGCAGCTTTGCAATTAATCAACACGTGCCTGCTAGCTTGCAACATTTCAGTGTCACTTAAGTCATAGGGGATTGCACCACCAACTGGTTTACCTAGGCACGGGAAGAGAGAACAAGATAACTGAAGCGAATCGTCGAGCTTATCATTGACACGCTTTCTCCTATTTAACCTTGTTTCAGTTCCCTCCTCAAGATATGATGTAGAAAATGAAATAATTTCTTCGGTTCTCCACCATTCAGCAATTGAGCCTTCAGGACGTGCTTTATTGCCAACATGAGACTTCAACTTTCCCAGGAACCTAAATATAGAGAGAAACAAAAAGGAAATGAGAGGCCTTACACACTGCAATTCAAGAAGTGGAGCAAACACAACTCGAACATGGTACAGATCAAAACTCCACAGACAGACAGCTAAATGAACATGGTACATGATCATCATTAATTATAATATTCTGAGCCAATCATTCTTCTACAACCCAGGAACTCACCAGAAAGAAACCACTACATATTCCGAACCAGCATACACAGAGAAAGATATCTCTACTGTTTACATATAATGACACTGGCGGCCATTAATGAGTACACTGAATCACCCAAAATGCAATGATGATCATCATTATTCATTATCTTCTGCTGGTTCTCTTCCCCAAGAGAACATAAATCTGACAAATAAAGTTCTACCAAAAACAAATTAAACTTCAAAAAAGGAAGAAATCTGACCTTTCTATAGGATACATCCATCGATAGTGGACTGGTCCCACCAAGTCGGAGTTCTTCAACCAAATGGATCACAAGGTGAACCATGACAGTGAAAAATGACGGTGGGAAAAACATTTCCAAGTGACATAAGCAAAGAGTAATTCGTTGTTGAAGATTATCTAACTCCAAAGTGTTCACAACCTTTGAACATATGAGTTTGAAACAAGATGATAGCTCAACCAATGGAGAAGACACTTGTATAGGCAGCACGTTCCTTATTGCCAAAGGCAAGAATTCTTGTAGAAGAACATGTGAGTTATGACTTTTCAATCCAGATAACTTACGTGCAGATAAATCAACATGACAAGAAATGTCGCTAGAATAACCGTCAGGCACAGATATATCTTTCAAGGTCTCAAGAATAACATCGATCTCTGGCTTCTTCAATGTGAATAAAGCTGCAGGACAAGTCTTCCCATCCTCTTTCGGCCAAAGTTCATGTCTAATATTCAATTCAACTAGGTCCTTTCGAGCATTCAAATGATCCTTTCTTTTATCTTTGTCATTAAGCAGAGTGAATATGATGTTATCGCAAACATTCTTCTCTATATGCATAACATCCAAATTGTGACGCAACAGATTGAACTCCCAATATGGAAGTTGAAAAAATATACTCTTCTTCCTCCACTGTTCAGCAGAGTCACCACCTTCATTTCACTCCCAACACCGGTGTCGGTCCATACATCATGCTAGAAGGAGATCTGTTCACCATTCCGATTAGCAGCCAAGTGAAATTCCAAACCCTGTCTTTAAGCTTCATTATTTGGCTCCACGGACTGCAACCAGTCGAACCAGAATGCTCACCTGAAATCCAATGTGTTGTCGGGTTCGAAAACTTCATCTTTATTAGATCGCTCCACCAAGTTCCTTCGTTTTGGGAAAAATTCCATATCCATTTACCAATTAGGGTTTGGTTTTGGACTTCCAAACTTTTCACTCACAGGCCACCCCACTTCTTTGGTGTCACGCAGTTACTCCAGGAGACTAAGTGAATTTTCTTCTGTTGGCTTGCACTAGATCAAATAAACTCTCGTTGCAACTTATCGAACTAGTGATTGGTGTCCAACCCGTAAAAAATTTGACTATTTTTTATATTATCTTTTATTTTAATTTTGTTTTGTAGTATCAGGATGTTCTTACACCATTACTAAATGACTAATTTCTAATTGTGAAAGAACAACATGAACATTAAAATTCAGGGGTCGTTTGGAAGTTGCGATTGTTAAATAGATGTATTGTTGAGAATGCATGTATAATATTATACATGTATTGTCGAATTTGATGCATTGTATAATACAACGTTTGGTATGTGTGATTGTGTATGTCGCATCAGCTAAAAGCTGAGACAAAACAATCTCAACTCAACTCTCTCAACAATCACAACTAAAAGTTGAGATATAACAATCACTCGAAATGAGTGATAGTTTCTGTCACATCACAGAAACAATCCATGTATTGTTTCTGCTAAAAAAATAAAAAAACAATGCATTGTAAACAATACATGCATAATGACAATCTCAACA